CTGTCTGTCTGTCCGTCTGTCCGTCCGTCCGTCCGTCCGTCAGTCCGTCAGTCCGTCCGTCCGTCCGTACGTCCGTTCCTCTATCTGAATCTCTATCTCTCCGCCCTTTCTCACTTTCAATATTTTACCAATAACGATGAGTTCCACCACGCTGTTTCCAATAGCGTTGACGCAGAGGAAAGCCCCGGCATCAGACGCCTGGACATTGTTGATGACCTTCATTAAAAGGTTAGGGTCTTCGGGGTCACGGAAATTGGAGCTGCGGGAGCGAAGCGAGTCGTCCTCGTGGTCAGCAACCCAATGCTACAGGAAGGAAGAAAAACAGAGATTTTCTCTTTTGAAACATAATCAGATGCTAATGATTAACAAGGAGTACAATAAGCTGTCAGCTGGGATCAAAGACGTAGAAGAAGAAAGGCAAACATTAAAAAATATCCCGGTCAGAAATACTGAAAAACAGTTGTGGCACCAAACGAATAGGCAGAAACAAAGGCAAAATAACATGTTGGTTGAGAGATGAAACCAAAAAAGCAATTAGAATTATAGATAGAAATCTGAGCGAAGCTCAGTTTGGATCCTGAAAGGGAAGAAGATGTACGGATGCTGTATTTGCATTACCACAGCTAGGCGAAAAAAGCCATCGAACACAACAAAGAATCCAACATCGTCTTTATAGACCAGGAGAAGGCATTTGACAGAGTAAACCATGCAAAACTCTGGAAGACACTCGAAATATATGGCGTCAGAGGACAACTGTTAGATAATGTCATAACTCTATATACCAACAGAAGAAGCTCAGTAAGAACGAAGGAAGGATTATACAGACTGGTTCGATGTAAGATCTGGAGTACGATATGGATGTGCTATCTCCCCTCCTGTTTAAAATATACATGTATATAGACACAATAACGCAAGACGCAAACCAAAGCCCAGAAAGCCTGAATGAACTTGTTTTCGCAGACATCCAATGTCTCATTCATCCAAACCAACAAAAGCTCCAAAATCACACTACCAAACTGAACAACAGTCGAGAGAAATTTAACATGAAAATACGAACATAAAAAACTAAAGTTATGAAAGTGAACCGAAACCATTGTCCCCTGAACATTCATATCAAAAGTAAACAACTGAAACAGGTGAAGGAGTTTAAGTATCCTGGCAGTACTCTTTCTGAAACCGGGCCCACAGACAGAGAAATATAAATGCAAACTCAAAAAGCCAACGTTGTCAGCTACCAGCTCGCAATCCCCCCCCCTCATTCAGACATCTCAATGGACACTAAGAGACAGTTTATCACTTCACTACTAATACGCCCAAATTATGCTGTCAGTGCCAGATCTGGACATTAAGTAAAACCCATGAAAGTAAAATCACTGCACGCGAAATGAAATGTTTCCGCAAAACCATTTACATCACAAGACGAGAGAGGCAGAGAAATGAAGAAGTAAGAGCAGCTATTGGCACTGAGTCCAACCTGAATTTCATAGAAAGACAGAATAAAATGGTTCTGGCTACCTGTTACGGACGTCACCTAGCCAGGCAGCCTCGAGAGCCTATAACACCTAGGGGTATCCAGGAAACCCAGAAAAATTACAATATCCCAACTGAAAAAGCTGCGGAGCTAAATCTCCCCTCTACACTAAACGGCAACAGAGGATGAAAAAGCAAAAGAAAAGTAAGTATGAAATGCTAATGTAAGCCTTAAAGTTAACAAACCTAAGCTATAATAATAAATTATGCACAAGACCGCACACACGTGTGCACACACACACACACACACACACACACACACACACA